CCTTCGGGGGGGTCTCTTCGCACCTTCACCTGCTAGCTTTCGTCGATTATGGCCGCCACCCATTGATTGTTGATTGGTAGCATGCCACTTGACTTGTAAACGGGTTGTGCCACAAGAAAGGTCTTTTCTACGGCATGCTCACAGCTTCGCCACCCCACTTGTAGGGATGCAATCGACGTTAAAGCAGTGCGACGCCTCTTTGTTAAGTGGAGAACTGCATTGTGACTATGATTTTGCAGCACTGGGGTGTGGCCGTTGGTCACTCACAATGATGAAGTGAAGTCCTTTTGAAGCTTTTTTGCGACTTTGCTTGAGCACAAACCTGCGCCGATATGCCTTTTCTAGACACTCTCTCTCGTCTCACATGTTTCACCTTGCACAGAGGAAAGACTACATGATGGTGGAGACTCGGCCTGTGGGCCTCGGGTTGTGTTGTTTTGTTTGGTGTGGTGTTGGGTTTCTCTGTTTCTTTCTCCACCATCAGACTGTTCTTCCCTCTCTTCAACGATGACCTGGGCACCATGCCCACACGGCGTCCGGACTCGTGGAAAAAAAAATGTTAGCCTCCGGTTGCAAGCATTTCAGCTCAATGCCGAAGCAATCGGCCAGCCCTCCAAGCCCAACTGAGGCCTCGAGCTTTCAAGCATGCACAGCTCTGAGTCACATCAATTTAGGTGTGCCAGAGCCGGATGCAGCGCACCCAAACCGATGCTTGCCGGACTGCTGTTTTCTGGAGGCGGGCATTGTCGCACTTGCCTTTCCTCAAGTGTACCTCTCTGCAGGATCCCTGCTTTACATGGCGCGATGCGCCTTTGCAGGTTGCACGCAATGTCGAGCAATATGCAAACAAGGAAAAAGTAAAACATGGCGAGGGACACATGTCCGACCCAATGCTTTTGACAAATGTGAGCAACTCGACTTGCCCGAATGGCACCGAGTTTTGCCGGCCGATGCTAGTGATCTATGGAGAGAAGACTTTCTAGAACCTGCACCAAAGGCCAGCAATGCTTTCGCGGCGGGAATGGTGCATAAGCACTCCGCCAGGAAGCTACGGCAAGTGAAATGTGCAAACATCACGCAGGGTCGCCAATTTCTTTTCGCCGTTCACGATACAGTGAGCCAATAGGAATGAGAGCCTCAGCTCCTCGTTTCCAACAGGCGGGTGGTAGAGAGTGGCAATGGAGGATGCCTAGATGTCCGACATTTCCAATTTTGTACAAAGAGGTCATTTACCATGCTAGGATAGGTCCACGGTCTCACCTCTTTCACACGGGCCTTGCACGCAACAGAACAATGCTTTTGCGATGACGCAGCATTTCTCAAAGTTAGGGCACACCCCGTTTTGGCACCTTTGTGCACCGAAGGGCGCCGAGATGACCTCCCTTCGAGGGGGTGAGACTTTCGCACCCTTACCTGCAGGCTTTCATCGTTTGCTATGGCCGCCACGGTCTGAACACTACCAACTACTATGCCTCTTGACTTGTATGTGCAACCAGTTGCATGGGTTGTGCTACAAAGAAGGAATTTTCCACGGCATGATCTGCATAGCAACCTCTGATCCACTTAGATAAGGATCTGACCTGCGTTAGAGCATTTACCAATGCCCGGGACTTGCATTGTGACCAGGTTTTTGCCACTCTGTGCAGTGGCCGCTGGTCACTGGTAATAGAGAAGTGAAGTCCATTTGACGACTTCGTTGAAATTTCGCTAGAGCACAAACAATCGCTGCCATGTTCTTCTTTCGTGAATTCAGGCCCATAGATAGTCAGCAGTCAGCGTCTCACTTGTTTCACCCTAGTACAGAGGAAATACTACAGGATGGTGGAGGCTCGGCCTTTGGGCTGTGGTTTGTTTTGGTTTTTTGTTGTCTGTTGGGTTGTTGTCTTTGTCCTCTTCTCCACCATCTGACTGTATTTCCCTTCCTTCAATGATGACCTGGGCACCATGCCCACACGGCGTCCGTACTCGTGGAAAAAAAAAGAGGTCGGTTGGGGGAGCGAGCTGGTTGGCGTGAAATTCGAACCAGTCGAGGAGTTGGTCCGTTGGTGAGAGAGCTTGAAAATTGGGTGGAGGTCGCCAGCGGTTGAGTGGTCGACGGATGACTGCTGTGGTGGGATATTGAGAGAGGTCGGTGTTAGTCCGTGTTGGATCGCAGGTCGATGGGTTGTCGGGAGCGGCTGCGGGAAGTGGGGCTGTAAGAGTAGGTGGAGGTTGAAGGCGAGCGGAACGCGCTTGGGAACATATCTGTATAAAGTTTGTCTGACGGGCCTCATGACCCATGACCTTTACCCTTTACCTTTGCGGCTCTATCCCCCCCAATTGCTGAAAGCAACGCGTCCACCTGTTCCATGCCGCGTAGTGTACATGTTTGTTAGTTACACAACGACACATCCACAACGTGCAACCACAACGCAACCAAAGCGCAACCGCAACACGCAACCGCAACACGCAACCGCAAAAACGCAACTACAAAGACACAATTGACAAACACAAAACCACAAAGACATCCACGGCAACAACACGCAACCACAAAGACATATCCACAGCGCGCAACCACAACGCGCAATCACAGCGCGCAACCACAAACACACAACCACAAAAACACACACACAGACACCATCACAAACATGTCACACTATATGGCAAGGAGAAGTCTAGAATATTTACCAGATAGAATGTCACTATTTATATATATATATATAGATATATCAAAGATAATGTTTCTGTTGTGTGTCCTGTACACCCCTTCTTCCTTTGCCTTTACCGGACCAGACACCTGACAGGCGGCACGCCGCTGTCTTGCAAAAATGTTTGTCACATGTGACAAGCAACAAAATGTGCCAGAAAAAATGCCGAAATAATGTAGCAATATGTGCCATTGTCACATTGAAATGTCATGGTGGGGATCACTCGAAGTGAAGTACTTTGATCCAATAAGTGGTCAAAACAATGCAAGTGATGTGAACAAGGTGACAGGAACTGGCAATGCAGCTGACGTACTCAAAAGGTCTTTGGACACTGGCAAATCAGTAAGGCATGCCATTGACTTGACTGGCATGGTTGATCTAACGCAACCTTCGTGTGTGACTTATTTGTTTCAGTGAGACCTTTTCCACGCACATATACTTTCGAGTGCAAGTGCTCATGTGAGGTTGTGCTGGTCCCTCCGGTGTGAGGTTGGTCCGTTTGTTGGTTTTCGTCAGTTTGGTTCTTGATTCCTGCCCCATTTCTTTGTTTGTGCTTTAGTTGTTGAGAGCTGTACAGGTGACCCGACTCCCGTCTAATGGCAGCACACTTGGACAAATCTGTCACGAACTTCAAAAACTCATATAGACATGCAAAAAATGTTTCTGGACCAAAAGAATGGATCATATTTGTGCATTGACTTTGTTGGGTTCCTACATCAAAAGGGCTGAACAGTTTAGCTGCGGCAACCTCCAAAATAGGTAACTCGAGAAAACTTTGCACCGTAGCTCTCAACTAATCACTACCTAAGTGACACACTCCAAGAGTGCTGAACGAAGGTTTCGAGGAAACTTGGTGGCACAACGAACTCAGCATGCAAGAAACAGTGGCGCCGGGATCCGAAAATGCTTAGTAACAATGTTAAGACAATCTGATGGCAAAGTATGCAGTTGTTGCTTCCCTGCTGCCAAGAAGAAATCAAACCCATGGACCCACTTGCCATATGGCGCACACAACTAATGTGGGAGATGGATGGCTGTATCCCAAGCGTGCTACCGCAAAGAACGTTGATGGTGACTGCCAATTGAGCATTTTTGGAAAATGCATGCACATTCAATTTGCAACAATGCTCAGGACAAACTCGACATAGCTGCCAAAACTGAACTTGCAGATGTGGAGCAGTCAGATAGACCTTGCTTACCAAAAAGTTGAGGCTGAGTGTTCACACTTCCAAGAGTAGCATGTCATGACGTGATGCAAACTGAGACTTGACTTGATTTGTGGGTCACACAGTGGCCTACAATCCCTTGGATGAAAAGACACCAATGAACCTGCAACCTTAGGGCGAAGTTCAACATTCCAGACTCAGTGATTCACTATGGAAAACACCGAATCCGAATGAAGGCAGCTTTTTGGCAAACTTGCCAATGCCGGACTTACTGACACACCCACCTTGGAACTTGTAACTTTGAGAGTTGCAGCATTTTGGCGAGCTTGAACATTCCGGACTCAATGACCTTGCATTGGGGCTTTGAGATGAGCTGTTTGCAATGCTCAAGACTCGATCCCCGCATTGTCAGTATGATTGAATTTGTAAATCATTGAGTCCGGAATTGGTCAAGTCTGCCAAAGAACTGCAATTCACAAAGGCAAGCTCCACGCATGCCCCTCCCCCAACTTCATTGAGCCATGTTGCCCAGGATCTCCTTATCCGGGCCCTATGCCCCCTGCAGAGATGAAACTTCATGGGGTCGTTTTGCATCTTAAACCATGTTGGAGCACCTCACAAGCGCAAGGTGTCAAACAGAGGCGGTTCGCAAGACACGGATGGTTCCTGTGTTTCGGTGTGGATAGTAAAATGGGACCTGCATCCCATGTTGTGAATTTAACAAGAGGGTTGTGGGGGTACCTGCACCCCTTTTTGAGCCATGGCCGTTTGTATTCATCCAGAATGGTGGCATGGAAACAGTGTGTTTACTCCAGGGATTTTATTGACAACATCGATGCCAAATAGCTGACCAAAACCATTTTGCGCGGAGCTTTTTGGATCAATGTAGAACTATGATAGATGAAGGCATTTTCCTAGCCGCTTTGGGAAGCCCAGGCATGGGAGAACGGAGAACGTACAGCAATAAAAAGAGAGTAGTAGTAGCTTCTTCTTCCTAGTAGTAAGATGTAGTAAGAATGCTCCTAGTAGTAGGGCCAGGAGGCCCTAGTAGCGTCGTAGCGATGCCCTTTGCTCCTAGTAGTGACGGCGCTTTGTCGAACCAAACGAGATCCAATTTGCGGTCGACTTCGATGCCGGCGATTTCAGGATGCCGGCGACTTCGCCGGATGGGCGCACGAAGTTGGCTAAACTGAAGCCAAAAGGAAGCCCAGGAGTTGAATTCCACCGAGTTTCGATTTTAACAGAGCTTCCTTGAAGAAGCGTGGGCTATCTTGCCTCCATACGTAGTAGCTTAAGTAGCTTACTCCCTTGCTTAATTAAGTAGGCGCCTACTTAGTTATATAAGTAGGAGCGGGCCAAAAAAGCAGGGCAGTTTCAAAGCTGGAACTGGAAGAGTCTGTGAAGGTGCTCGAGTGGCTCCACCAGTGTACTTTTTTGGTGAGGAAAACTCGCCAACTCTGGGTCTGGAACAGGCTTGCAGTCCGACATTGATTGGAGGCCGAGAGGACTCTAGATTTTATACTGAGTGTACTGTGTCAAGAGTTGTTGAACGTATTTGAATGGCCCAATTACGCCTGTCAATGACTGTGGCTCAGGGTTTTTGGACTTGACCTGGAGTCCGGCTCAACCGGTGCAGATTCTTCAGAACGAGTTGGCGAGTGTCAATGACTTGTTTGTTGTTTCAGCCAGTCGCTGTGCTATGCATGTGAAGCTTTTTCTGTATGAACATGTCTTTTTGGGGAGGGAACTATTTATCCCTGAGTCTTGTCCAGTAGAAGTGTCCTATTCAAAACCGAGGCTGCCAGATCACCAGTGCCTCCACCACCGAGGCATGGAGAGATCCGCATGGAGAGGGCATGCAATGTGTCTGCGATGTGTCTGGCCGAGGCTTGGAAGTTATCCCGGCGGCGGGCCACCGAAGCGTAGCACAGCCGGAATCAAATTGGATAGCTTAGACACCCCCGCGGCCTTCGATTCCGTGGACTTATCGCACTTGAGATCTGCTGTGAAGCGATCGCCTGGTTATCAGGAGCGAGGGGACAGCCACACCATTGAGGCTAAAACTTTTTTAGATTCTGGTGACAAAAGAGTGTGAGCTGTTTCTTCATGTTTATCATTGTTTATCCAGTGGCGTTTCATTTTAACTTCCGTTTGCTCGTGACCATGCATATGTCCTCTCATGCGGAAAATCATCATTTGTGAAAAACAGGAGCAGCTGCCATCACTCCTCAATCTGCTAGAAGAACGAGGGGTGGACTATGGTCGGCCCAACCTGGATCGGGATGTGCAGCTCCCTTTGGAGGCCTTTGAGGACACGACCATGTGGACTCGAACGCCAGAGGAGTGGCAGCTGCTAATGCGCGACCTCACGGGTCAAACAACTCCGTTGGCTTGCACGGCGTTGAGGACCATGGAGGACGGCAGTGGCCGGTGGCAGTCAGCAAGTGTCCTAAGCTGGGACGCAGCTAGCCAGCGCTACAATGTGAAATGGGCCAATGGACAAGAGGACAAGGTCCTCAGCCTCCACGTATTTTTTGAGGGCGATGACCCTATCCTTTTTGCGGACCGTTTGAAACAGGCACTACAGAATCGGAGATATGCAAACAGCCTCCTCAAGTATCACTTTTTTGTCGACAGTATGCCAGAAGATCATTCCCGGAAGATTGGTCGCGAGTCAGTGGCACGGATTTCCAAGCTGGCAAAGGGTATGCTGTGGGATGCCAACAGCGAATTTGCCGACAAGCTGAATGGCAAGTTGGAGACTTTGTTGCAAGATGCACAGAAGGAGTATGTGCGTGTACAAAACTTGATTACCTTTGAAAAGGTGCGCAGCCAAGGGAACCTCACAGTTCTTCCCTCAGACCTAGTGTTGCCGCCACCTCCGGAAGCATCTCCTGTTCCCTTTTTGGCCGTGAAGGTTCTACCTTCTTGGGACACCAATACCATGGGCGCTCCGGATCCACAAGTCCCACGTGGCTTCCGGCAAGCCTTTGAGTGGTTTTGCAAGGCCTCCTTGGTCATTCGGCCAGAGGTTTGTGCTGCCTTGCAGGTGACCAGAGGGATGTGTCTGGATTTGCTCACTGAGAAGGTCTTTGAGACGAACTTCAACACAGCCTTGCGCCTCCAGGAATTCTCCGAAAGACAGGAGGCCTCCATAATGCGCCTCAAAGGTCGACTGGGGATGTGGGTGAACACCATCCGCTCCAGCCTCAGCTTCTCCAGAAGCTGTGCATGTCAGCTTCACACAGGGAGGGAAGATACACGGCATCCTAAGGCATGCGAATAACACAGTGCTTGCAGCAGGTGTGCCATCGATCCATCAATCTGATGATCAAGAGTATTAAGTTGAGTTTTGTGTGGTTCTTGCCATTAATCATTCTGCATCGATCGTTTGCACAAGGCAACAGTGAAGTGGTATCACTTGAACGAGACATCCATTGAGTCGCGCTGGCTGATTGAATGAGACATCCAGTAGGACATCCAGTGGAGCTTGTTTCTCTGCAGGAACTACAAGGCAAGCCGTTTGCGGCCAATGCTTGTTTGCAGTGGTCTCATGATGCCAGGGCCTTTGTTTTGGGCGGCTTCCGCCGGGTTTGCCATTGCGAATGCATTTTGACTGAGGTCAAATGCCTTTTTGCTGCTGGCCGAGGACTGGCCTGCTCGAGACTCTTTAACTTCTCCTGTTTATATACTATGAAACTCTTTGATCTCTACTTTCACTTGAACTCTCTACTCCTTCGATTGAGCAGGAGAATCTCTACTCCTTCGTCCGGAGCTTTGCACATGTGTCCGGAACCTACGAAACGGAAACTCACCGCCTTCATTTTTCGAAGGTCCAAGTGCTGGAAGGCCTCACCCCATTACGGGTGCAGCACTGAGGAGCATTTCTTGCAAAATGTCGGAGCACACACCGTGCACAGAACTTCGTCCGCAGACTTCTGGTGACCTGAACCCTTTTTTCTTTCAGGTTGATCTCACAAAAGACAGACATGTCTTGCGAACCTTGCGCAACATTGTGCAAGCCTTAAGATTCTGCTTTGCCAATGCAATTTTGCGGGTCCGACAGCCAGCAATTTCCAAGATTTGCTTGGCAGTCAAAGCAATGAGTATCAAGCTGTGTGTATGGGCAAGTGCCAGTGCAAGCCATCAGTTTTGAATCCATGAATCCATGAAGCAACGGCGTCTCCATAGTGAAAAACAACTCGTTTGATGACGTCAGGTGCGACCAGATCCCAACAAAGAGGAAATCGTTGGACTCTCAGAGGGCTTCCGTGCTGATTTCGCACGTTTCGGCCGTTGCGAGCTGTGAAGTGTTGATGGCTTTAAGGCCGTGGAGCCTAGCTTCAAGAAGGCGCTCTTTAAGGCGAGACAGAATTGTTGGAGTTGGAATTTTCTGAGTTGATGCATTCAGATGCACAACCTCTGACACCTCAAAGTGGCCAGAAGAACTCACTCACTGAACGCAGAACATGCAATGGCCAGGTAGAAATTGTAGTCAATCCTCAGATTGCGGCCAAAGCAGCTGCAGCAGTCACTCCCTTGGTACAAGACTTGAGTTCAGTGGCGAGTGGCAGCCAGTTCACAAGAAGAGACTTCACTGGATTTGGAGCTGGCGCTTTCCATACCTGTTTTTGAACAAACCCATTGGATCCCATTGGCATTGTTTGGTCTCATAGGAGTTTGGACTTCAGGCTAGAACCTCTTTCCCATGTTAGAGGTGCAGATGGGCCTAAGGCAGAAGCCGCCGCTGCCGCAGCGGCAGATGACAAGAAGAAAGATGATAAGAAAGGCAGATCTAGCGCACGTTGTTTAAGCCAGTCTTTGTGAAGTTGATTGATTTGAGGAAAAGAGAAAGGGAAGGCAGGGCCTTTGTTGTGTGGCCAGCCAGCGTGTTCTTCTGGGTAGACTTAGACGTGCCCAACAAAAGCCACCAGTTTGCAGGAAGAAGAAAAGAAACCAGAAGAGCCTCCCATGTTGCACTTCTCTTACAAGCAAGTGCCTCAACGCGATGCATCCCATTGCCAACTGAAGTTGTTTTCCCTTGCTAGTTGCTCTCGGCAGGACTGACCTTGGGGAGTTTAAGCAGGCATGCGAAAGCAGCCAGCTTTTCGATGTCAGAGAGGCAGCCTTTGCTCGCAGGTAGTGCTCAGCATGTTCGAAAAGGGCATGTCTTCTTTCAGAGATGTTCACAGCATTGAGAGCGTGGCAAGCTTAGAGTGTTCAGCGAAACGCAAATGAGGGAAATATGTGCAACAGTATCAATATGTTAAAGGACTATTTATCACCCTTCCCTCCGTCGGAAACTTCCCCGTTTTCACACTGTCAGCACATCCAGGTGCTAGGCTGGTAGCATTAGTTGCAGTGGAAAACTAGTTGGTGACTCCTATCAGGTGCTGCTACCCCATTTGATTCGTGACCATCATCTGGACCGTCTCTTCTTTACTTTACTTGCTGACTGTGCTCTCTTGTGCTGTTTGGAAACAAAAGGAAACGGAGCACGGCAATTTGAGGGTCAAAAGATGGCTTTTCTGACGAGGACCCTATCTTCTCACCAAGCGACGCTTGGGTCGAAGAACTCCGCGTGCGTTTAGAGGAAGGGATGACAGAGCGTGCCAGTCGATCAGATGCCAAGCATGCATGAAGGGCATGTGGGGTGTGGTGCATGCGGTTGTGGACTTCAGGAGACCATGGCCAAGCAGGAGCCGTGGCTACAAGACATTCTGCAATCCTTGGAGAGCTTCAAGGACACTGATAGATCGTCATTTAGTTTTTGATGCGATTTTCGTTGAAAAAAGAGTGGAACGAAGAACTGCTAACAACAAGAGTCATCAGACGACGTGATGGACATTGATATGGATGACAAAATGAAGTGTTACTGGTACTATATATATATAGTACAATGGAAAGTGTGACTACATCTCACAGGTCTCGTTTTGGTTCCATGTGTGGTCTAGTATTTGACACCAGCCCCAATCTGCCAATGATGGAGATCCTCAGACATGTCATGAGTTGCGAGGACGTTGTCCTTATGGATCCAGAGGCACGAAAAAGTTCTTGCATGTAGAGATTTGATTCAGCCAAGCATTCAACCAAGCTCAAAAGCTTTGAAGTTTAGTGTTCCGGAGTATTCCTGTGATTGCTGTTTTCGCTACCAGGCCGCGGCTGCCCGCCTGCGTGCGGAGCCACAACCGCCCGCACAGGTCAAGGCAATGATCGAAGAGAGGAAGGAGTCGGGGATCTCGGAACCAGGGAAAGGTCCTAGTAGCGTCCTTGTTCCTAGTACATAGTAAGGCCAGGAGCCCCTAGTAGCGTCCTTGCTCCTAGTAGCGATGCCCTTTGCTCCTAGTAGCACTTTTTGTGAGGGACAGGTCTGTTTGTGTTTTCAACACGTGGAAGTGTGGTGAAACAGTTGCTTAAAGTCCGAATGAAGCAATTGCTGCCGAGTCGGTGCTGTTGTCTTGAGGCGAATCAAGCAGATTCAAGAGTCTATTCCGGATGACAAGGCTTGGATGGCTTTTTGATGCTTTTTGCAGATGCTGAAGTTCTTCAAGCCTTTTTTGCCTAGGAATCCATCACGATTGGCTTCTATCGCCGCAGTCCTATTTTGACATTCAGTGGCGTGTTCCTTATCAGTCTCCAGCTGTGCATTTATCCAGGCATTGAGTCTGGTGGCATCCGCAACCAACTCATTGAGAAATTAGAGACGCGCGAAACTTGGTCTTGGAAGCCCGTCAAATACTGGTTTCCAAGATAATAAAGAAATACTGGCACATGTTTGTGTGCTCAAATCCAACTCTCCACTTGCTTACAGGTCAATGCAGCTCTTGCTCAAGTCTCTAGCAGAGACGTTGGAGGTCAACATTCATGAAGTCTTCAACTTAGGAGTGAAAGACCTGCAAACTGCTCATATATTATACATAATAGGCCGAATCAAGACAATCAAGTAGGAGCAGCAAAACCAGCACAGGCTTCCCTCCAGACTCCACACTTCTACACTATCTACACTACTGTAGGTATTTTGTACAATTTTGAGGATCTGTGGTCTCAACTAATCATATGACCAACACTCTTTTGTTAGGGCTGTTGCCTCAGGCCACAGTGGCCTTCGAAGGCATTTTCACCAAACTCCAAACACAGGCATGGAGCTCTTGTGCTACCTTCTTGTTTGGAAATTGACTTCAACGCTATAGTTTGATATATACTGAAGTACTATTTGGCGCAGTTCCAGGTTGCAACGATTGAAGAGTGCTCTGACATGAAGGCACAGAGGGGGCCTTTGTGAGGCTCAGAGTTCCAGAGGCTTTTGTCTTTCCATAACCAGACAGGGGAGTGTGAGGCAGACTTTGGACCCAGAGCCATGTCACGAAAGGTAGCGGTTACGCTACCTGAGTTTTCCTTTTGCTTTAGCAAAAATGTATTAACCCAGAGCTGCAGCCTATCTCTCGGAGAAATGGTCCCCGACATCTTCGTTTGCTGGCCGGGGGGGGGGGTGAAAGAGTGACTAGGGCGTACACGGTAGAGGTGCAGACCGCTAGTGTCTTTTATGCGCAGAGTCTTATCCTCTTGCTCTTTAGGTCCATTGACCCTCTCTTGAGCCTTGAAGCAGTCAAGCATGGACACACTATATCAGCTGTTGGAGTGGAACCCTGTACAGGTAGGCTCTACTTTTCAGCAGGCACAAGATTCATGTCCACTTCTAGCTGATTGCGTATGTCGCATACTCTTTTCCTACTGCAAGGCTAAAACAGTCCAGCTAGCTCTGACAACTTAAAAGAAAACTACGGTGCCATGTACTTACCTAATCCAGTGTGTTTCACACTTCAGAGAAGGTAATCTCATAGCTACTAAATACAGTGAGGGAGCAATAGCTGACTCACCTCAAGTACAAGATCAAATCGATAATGTACCTCGGCTGGAGACTGTACTTTTCGCAGGCGGAGATACCATGTACCGGCGCTCACTAGCTCTTTATGGCCTGAGCTAAATCAAACTAAAAAGGGAAAGCGGCTTTTTCTCTACAGAGACCTATAAAAGAATCAAACGACACTCGCGTAACAAGGAACTAAAAATTCAAGACCGCACAATGCAATGAATTAAGATGCCTTGCAAAATGCAAGGAGCGTACGGTCCGAGGAATAATCTTCTCGTGACGTGGTCTCGACCGCTTTCATCCACAGACAAAATAAAACTGCATCAAAAGGACTCTTTCTCATTTACATCAAAAACACAAGAAGGAGATACCGGCAAATGTATGTACAAAAAAAAATCTTGCACTACAATTGCAAATCATGAAATGACTTAATCATCAACCATGACTGGTTGTCCATTAGAGGTCACTTCATAAGAGCGGTGGTGATAGATATCATCAGTTCTGTAAAACTGTCCATACCTATCTACATGCTAAAGCGTATAAACCTGGAATGCAGGAGTATCTTCTTTGATAAAAAGTTTCTCCTCATTGCAAACCAGAATTTATTAAAACTTCAGCCTGGCAACTTAAAGTCAAGCCTGGAAGCAAAGTATCAACTGTAACCAGAAGTATCTTCACTTCCTAGCCATCATTTAAATTTCAGCCTTCGCTCAGGAATTATGCCGCTGCAGACGATGAAGCTGCTTGACCAGAAGTTGGCGGCCTTCCTTTCTTTCTATTCTGCTTTTGTCTCTCCTTCCTCCGCACGTTCGCCTCATGAAGCGTTGCTCCCATGCGATACTGTCTTCTGTCTCCAGATGAAAAGGAAGCTGGTCTGAGTGAAATAAACATTGGACCATGACTGTCCTCGTCAGTGGGCCTTGAGCACATAACCTCTGTGTCAATCATAGCAAAGTTCTCTGAAAAATTACAGATGAACTCCTTCGTGCTCACTGTGGAATTTTCATATTCCTCTTCACTCATTGAATGACCCCATTCAACAATGGTAGACAAACATGTATCGCCAAGCTGTGATCCTTGGTATTCTTCTTTTTCAACAGTAGAATATTCTTCCCAGAGTTTATCAAAGTAAACTTCACACCTCTTGAGGACCTGTGAAGTTGAACTGTAAAATGTTCTGGGAATAGGTGCTTTGATACCAAGATCTGCTTTTACACGAGCTTCTGAAAACCTGCGGATCCAATGCTGCATGGTGCTGTAATAGTAGTTAGCCATTGGCTGCCTTTTGTACCCAGACATTCTGTAGGCCAAACTATTTGCATCACCAGAAATGATGTCCACCTCATAGACAAAACACTCGTAAAGCATCAATGCTGTCTGTTCTCCTGTCAGTAGGTGGGCACCCACAGCACGGTGTGTATCAACATGATAATTACAGACTCTGATGGTATGCATGTTCGCTCGAGTAAGTGGAACACGCTTGTCCTCAGGACCATAGTCATCAAATTCAAAGTCTGCATCCTTGAAATCTTGACGAGGCCTTGTTTCTCCAAAACAAATCTCGTAGATAGCCCAAGTTACATCACGCTGTTCACAGTGACCAAGTTCTTGATCATGTCCAGCAATGATCTTGACATATCCACCTGGTGCCAATCTAGCCATCACTGCAAGATTCTCCCAATCATTGAAACAAACTGTCCAATTCTTTTGCTCAATAAATTCCTTGGCAGGAACAAGAAGATGAGCTTCCTGGAGAATCACGACATGTGCACGTAAAAAGAAGAGCATGTTGAAGAAAAGGTTGTTCTCAAATTGCTCATTCTGAAGTGACATGGCGCTCTGTTTGCGTGGCCTCATTGCACTATCAAGTCCTTGGAGAAACCTTGGTGTGGTGTACTTCTGACCACGAACCATGTTGCCATAGTTCCAGGATAAAAATGTCAAGGACTCTGAGCTGGCCAATAAGTTAGTTCCATATGGTTCTTCTATTCTTCCCTTGAGGAACCTTCTGCACAGCTCTTCATAGAAGGTGACAAAGTCCCAACTGGGTCCCTTAGGACCATATGATTCCAGTTCCTTCTTAAGTTCCTTCTTCGTATCCTCCAATTCTTCTCGAGCATGTTTTGCCCTTTCAAGGGCCTTTGGATCGACCTGATACTTGCCATCCAAATGAATGATGCGATCATCATTGATAAAGAATCTCTTCAAATCATGCTCTGGTTCGTGTTCATAACAATCAGGTGGAGGTACTGGACAGATATTACGAATGGATCGAACAAAATCATTCTCGTTGATCCTCGACTGATAATGAGGATGGGAAATCTCACCTTTTCTGAAACAAACATGGTTCAGCAATCTCGCGTGAGTTTCCCTGAAGCATAGTTGATAAAAGCCAATACCTGGATCTCCTGTAAGCTCTCCAAGCAACTTCAAAGGTGAAGTATGCAACTCATAGGTATTGTCAACTTTTGTTGTATCCTTTTCAGCAACTACTTCAGATGGAAAAGATTCCTGGATTTCAGCCTCCAATTTCTTCTCTCCATCATCCTCTCTGACCTCTTTTATTTTCTCCACCGCCTCTTTCTTCTCTTCCATGGTTGCATCATCCTGAACTTCTTCATGAAAATGAGGATCAGGAATCTTATTCAGGCGGCTTCTCTTCGATTTCCGCTGACCTGAAGTATCATCAAGGTTAGCATCCATCTCACCTGATGGTAAGTGCGATGCAGTCGAGTCCTCACCTATCTCTCTTGACAGAAAGTGTGGTGTTGACTCTTCCTTGGCTTCCTCCTGGTCAACTTCCATCTTTGGTTCCTCTGAAGGAAAAACACCTGCATCTTCATCAAATATTTCTTGTTCCTTCCCAGGTTCAACTGCAGGATCTTCTTCAGGAACTTCCTCTTCCATATTCTCATCTTCTAGAAGTGTCATACTTCCAGTATAGACTTCACCAGCGATAGTGGAGACTCTTGTATAAGGAGGAACTTCTTCACCTGCTTCAAAAGCTTGTTCTGCAACATCCTTGGTGAGCAAGTCCTCTACAAGATTTTCTCCCTCGGTTCTTGGAAGAGGTCCTGAGGTCTCATAAAAATCTGTCCTCTCTGAACTGAAAGCTTCTGTCGCCTTCTCATTGTCCTTTTGATCCCTGAACAGGTGAGTAATCTTCACAGCTTCTCCCTGTAGCACCTGATCACCTCCTCTATACTTGTCGACAATGGAGCGCCATACTGGAACATCATCATCATCAAAATCAAGCTCCATATCATCTGCCAACAGGTATGAGATGTTTTGAGCTGCCTGTTCTTCTTCTTCATCACGTTCCTTGGCAAGCTCCTCATCCTTCTGGATCTTGAAGATACCCTTCAGGATGTCTTGTAGTACCTTTAAGTTCAGCTTCGATGATGGCTCATACGTCCCTGAACTTACAGGCTCAACTACAACACGAGAGCAAGAAATCGCCTCCAAAAACTTGGAATTGTATTGGCGTTCAAACTCTTCCTTCTTGATCATCTCATACAAGGGATCAGAAACTGCAACACGCGCCTGAACATACTCACGAAGTTGATAGCATGCATGTTGCACAAATCTACTGTTGGAGTTGTGAAGAAAACTCTCTAAATGATTCCTGTCACGGTCAATCAAATACCACACAATCCTTGCAGAAAAACGGAATTTCTTGAAGTTCATAGCAAAATGTGTATGATACTTCTCTGGATTCCTTTCTGCTTGTAAGGCGGCCTCTGAAGTCTTGTAAACTGGGAGCTTTGTGTGTGGATCCAAAATCATAAACTCTTCCCACAAGATCGAGTGGTCAAGAACCCACTTGGGAAGCACCTTGATGAAAAAGTCACAAACAAGTTCTGACACAAGGTGCATGACACGACCAATCTCTTCCTCCTGCTTGAAGCGATAGTGCAATCTGGCAAATAAAGGATTGTTGAATGCTTCCTCCACTGTATTGCCAAAATTATCCCACTGAGGTTCTGGAATACCAAAGTTCCAACCCAGCAATTTGGGATCTCTGCACATATCCAAGAAGCTTGAAAGCTCTACAGAAGAAATGCCATGGTCTGTCAGAATTTCAGCCCAGCGGCGTCCATTCTCCCAAGCACGGATGAAGAAAAACTGTTGGTATCCAGTTTGCGCCAACTCCATCCACTGAGAAATTCCGGGTTCAAAACTCGGTGCATACGTCTTGGGGTCTTCCTCTGTTCCATAAACACTTGGACGTAGCAACTTGTATCTTCTACAAAAATATTCTCTCTGGTGCCTTGTCAACCTGTCCCAATCCCTCACGAGGATCACGTCTTCTCCAGTGCTCTGGAGTACACGTGTCCCTACACGATCATGGAGTGATACCATGCCAATGTCATATATCATCCATGGGTTGA